TTCATTTCATTATATTGTAAGTTGCTTCCATTTTTAATACAGCCATGTACAAAGCTCTAAGAACAGTTAAAAATTAGATGAAGCACTTCCAGTTAATTTTTAGTTTCTCTTTATAGGCAGAATAGGAAAGTGATCTCATAAATACAGTGCTTCACAAGCCTCAAGAGATTTAACTTAACAAAATTAGCCCAATAAAACAATAAGAATTTCAAGGCTGGTTACCATTAATAATCCTATTTCTGTCAATTTTGTCTGGCAATCTAAATAAGTCTTCACCTGGTAATGTTTTATTCTCACAAATTAGTTTTGATGGACATTACCTTAAATTAGTAAAAAAAGAAAATATACTAAATAATAAGAGACACAGTTCTGAAAGACATGAGACAACTCACAGATCCATGTACCACCAAGGATGTGTAGTGGATCTGAAAAGATAAGGTTGATGTTACACTGAAAAACACTTGGTGCATTAAACCACCTGTGTTTTTTTCCCTAATCCTGGGGATGCTGGGCACTGGGCGATTTACTCAGGTTGCTCCAACCTGTGTAGACTTTCACTGGTCTCAACAGTGGAAACTTTTACGGAAGCCCCAAAGGAATATCTTGACCATGCCCCCTTCTCCTCCTATATGCTGTGCTTCTACTTGTCCATAACAGGTGACAGTGAGGTCATATGGACAGTTCTCACTAGTCAAGGGATCGTTTGTGACTTCTTTGGCTGTATCCACCATTAGGAGATTGATTTCCACATCTGAAGCAACACCAGTGTGCCAGAGAGCAGAGACCTTGATCAGTTAAGGTGCTCAGGGAGCAGGCCAACCTTACATGGGCTTCTTTGTCCTACAGGAATTTCCCCATGCAAAACGTTCTCAATAGGCTACAATTTATCCCTGTGCAAAATCTCCTATTAGTCTTATGCTAAACTATCTGAAATACTTATAAGGTCTTGAGTACCATAGTATCTGAGGACCTCACAAGTTTAATTGTTTTTATTCCCCCTATAGCCTGGTTTGGGGTACCATGTAAACCAGTACAGCCTGTTCCATGGTTAGGTTGTTGGTGACTAAACTGGCACCCCCACCTAGGCTAGCCTGGGTGAGGAGGATAGGTGGACACCCAGCAGGACTAAAAACAAGACCTGTCAAAGGGTGGATGAGCTCCCTGTGAGCTAACAGCCATCCATACCCGGAGAGGAGATGTGTGCCACCACGTCACTTTGCCCGAAGAATCACCAATCATGCACAGCATCTAAGGTGCCCCAATGGTTGCAGCAGCCTCAGGAGCGACTTGACTTGAAAAGCCTGGAGAGGTGGGAAACTGCTACTATCCCCTTTGCACAGAAGAGAAATGGAGGCACACAAAAAAGTGACCTGTCCAGCATCATACATGTAGCCTGCAATGAAGCATGAAATTGAACCCAGCACTCACCAATCTGAAGGCAATATATGGTCACTGAGATCAGCTTTCCCCTCTGCTTTGGGGATCTCGGGAAGATGTCAGCCTTCTTCTAGTAAGCTATGCATCTTCTTCTTTGTGGACTACTAGCTAAATGCTGCATTGTGACCTTTTGTATTGAACAGGTCTGATTTTTGCAATTAACTGATATTAAAAAAAAGCTTCTGGTATTCCATACCACTGTACACCAGGGCACTTTTATATATAGAATTCCCCAGAAACAACAAAAATAGTTGGAGTAACTCTGCATCATCTTCCTGTTACACTTCACTAATGTCACACACCACCAAGAGGCATCCCTGCTCACCATTCCCTGAAACACCAGATTCCGAATCACAGAATCATAGAAAATTAGGGTTGGAAGGGACCTCTGGAGGTCATTTAGTCCAACCCCTGCTCAAAGCAGGACTAGGCCCAACTAGATTATTCCAGCCAAAGCTTTGCCTAGCTGGGTTTTGAACACTTCCAAGGATGGAGATTCCACAACTTCTCCACATTGCCATCTTAATGAGTGGATCCATGAGTTTTTCAGAAATTCAGGTAGAGGTGTTGTGCTCACACCAGAAATGGAATTGCGAGCCTGGAAGCATGGTTGTCAGCGGCAAAAATTGGGAACTACTGTCTTAGACTATAGTATATATTGTTGATTTATCTTCTACTCAGCTGTTTCCTGAGGACAAAAAGGCTATCACATATGTGCCTACAACAGGAGAGGCTGGTTTGCTTTTCACATATTTTTGATGCCATTCTCATTCTTTTTCAGGACACCATGTTATTTGCCACAATCCCTTGAAGAGGGGACATGCATTAGGATTTGCCTGCTTTCCAGAGAGAAATGCACTTAACTGAGAGATATTTTGGGGGTTTTTTTGCTTTATTGTCATTGTTTCAGAGTGGCTATGCATGCTGGTGTGCCCGGGTTCAGAAGAGTGGTATTTCTCAGATAACCTGAAAGTAAACTAAGACACTCACATATCATTCCCTCGCTGCCAAATTCAGGCTATTTTAACCTTGTTCTTCCAATGTGTTGCAAAACATTTCCTGGTTCTTAGCAAAAGAAAGAACTGCATGACAACTGCATTGGAAAAAAACTGCCCAGATCCTCATATTTTTGTGATAAGATAATGAAATTCCAGATGGGCAATGGTAACAACCACATTAGTTTAATCATTGTAAACACTGTCCTTTCCCTTTGGATTATTCCCAGGCTTTGTTACCTGACTAGGTCAGGATGGTCACAAAAGGGACGCTTTTAATGAAAAATCATCACATAAAATGTTCCTCATTCTTTAAAAAATATGATTTGGGTTTTTAAAAAAACAACTCTATTTCTATGGAACAACCAGCATACAAGTCCTTGCTTTCAAAACTCCAAGGAGAAACACAAGTGACCAGCTGAAAAGTACCCTATCCATATTTCCTCATCTTAATTCCCTGGATATATTTAACAACTAGACATTAGTCAGGTTGACCCATTAAGGGTTGGCAGTGCTATCTCATATAGTCACTGAAGGAAGCTGGGACAAAAAACTGAGGAACACAAAGTTTCATCTTTCTGTTCCTTCAGAGCTAGGTACAGGCTTTCAAAAGTTCACACAAATAATAAATTGAGCAAGGGGAAATCAGGCATTTAATGCGCACATACTCTCTTTCTGCATGGAAGCATAAAGTCACATTTGAAACATGTCCATTTTGGCTACATTCAGTAGTCTCTTTCTCAGCTATGCCCACAAAATCCATAGGTAATTATCTGGAATAGGCCTAACGTTCCACTCCATTATCCCAGATCTATGTCATTGACTGAGAATCAGACTCATAAACTATAAACTTTGTAGTCATTGCTTTGAAGTCTCCTGGCACAACAGGATGCACCCAGTTTTCCCACTGGCTAAATTCTGCTTTCAGTGGGTGCATCTACATGAGACACTTTACTGAGAAGTAGTGTAGTTTACTGCACAGTAAGTGTCTACATCTACACATGCACATGCTTACTGCACAGTAAAGCTTGCTAACCGCCAGTAAATTTGATCCTTGAAAATGCCAGTCACAAATTTACTTGTGATTACTAACTTCACAATAGTGCTTGTGTAGAAGTCTGACCAGGAGCAATTCTGCTCCCAGTCAGCCAGCCACAAGGGGATAGGAGATTGCTCCCTGCCCCTGGGAGCTGCCTGCTCCTGGGGGGCTGCACCACCAGAGCCCAGGCAGGGACTATGTCCACCCTGCCCCAGCAGCAGGGAGCTCCAAGTCCCCTACTCTGAGATTGTGATCAGGGAGTGGGGGGCTAAGAGATCCTTATCTCCCAGCACCAGCTCTGTGACAGGTCTGCAACAGCTCTCCAGCCTGTTTCCCATCCAGCTCCACACTCATGGAGCTGAGTGGGGAACAGGGTCTCCAGCCTCCACCCTGCAATCACAGGCTGGGAACTGTCCTGTTCAGGGGCAGGTCCCAGCCCCATGCCCAAATCAGGTGATCAAGGCATGGGGATTGGAAAGAGGTGCAGGGGTGGGGTAGGTCCCAGCCCCCTGCTCCAATCTTCCAGTGGGGCAGCTAGCAGAGAGACCTGCCTCTCCCTGGCAGCTCTTGACTCTGACAGTTTGACTGCCTGACATGCTGCTGGTGCCACTTACTAAGGTATTACTTGTTGTCACTTAAAGTGGTAGACTGAACTGAGGCTGTAGGGGAGGAGGAGACCTCACTGGGCACACTGCTGTGTCATGTAGAGGCCCCAGTGCCAGTAAGTGTGCACCTTAACACACACACAGAGTCACACACTTCAGATTTTTGCTTGTCAGCAGCTTGAGGTGCAATTTTCCAGAAACCCCTGTACCTATCTCCTTGAAACCTGGAAGTCTTCATAGCCTCAGCAGGGGCTACCATGCCTGCAGTTTTCACCCTGCTGTGCCTTAGCACACACACGTGACATGAGTTTTGCTTCTCAGCAGCTTGAGGTGCAGTTTCCCAGAAACCCCTGCACCTATCTCCTTGAAGCTTAACAAGCTTCATGCTCTTAGAAGGGGCTATCATGCCTGCAGTTTTCACCCTGCTGTGCCTTCACACTTACAAGTGACACAAGTTTTGCTTTCAAGACTCTGAGGTACAGTTTCCTAGAAACCCCTACACCTATTCCATTGAAACTCAGCAGGCTTCAGGCCCTCAGAAGGGGATATTATCCATGCTGTTTTCATCCAAATCTGCCAAAAAATGACAAAGTTATAGGCAGTTTTGTGCTTCCCCATTATCACCTATGAGTAAAACGTCAAAACAGTGAAACAGTTTCAACTAAACGAAACGGAACAGTGCTTTTGAAATGAAATGAAAATGAAATATGTGCCAGGAAAACGGAAGTCAAAATGAAATGGTGCTATTTTGCAAAACCCTATCAGGCATGCCTGGGAACTGTAGGAGGCTGGTATGTAAAGAGATTCTACCCATTTCAGTGTAAAAAAAATACCTCTATATTTACAGTTCTTAAAAAGTAACTTGTTTTATTTCGGACCAATTCTCTCTGATTATGTAAGGACAGATTTCAAGCTGAAACTGACCATAATGCAATGTGGTGCCTTTCCTAAGGCAGTAAAATTCTTGTCATTGTGCTCTTCCAAAATGTTGACAGAATATTTAGCTGGACTGCTGACAGTAGACTTTTTCCTTAGTGTGTGCACAATGTTTGTCCTTGGGGAAAAAAGAAATAAGCTTTTTAAAAATAGTGCAACTCCTCCCTCGTGTGGCTATAGGAAAGAAGAGCAAGTCTGACTCAGCTTCACTGCCCATACCTAAAAGAGAGCAAATCAAACACCATCAATTCCAAAATCCTGTGGAATTCACCACAGGTTTTCGTTACCTCCTTCTAGACTGATGATGCTTGTGAGCCATTAGGAAGGGCCTAAGCCAGAGCCCCACCCTGCGCACAGCAGTATTTGATGTGCAGACCTAGGTCTAAATGTGTTGTGAACAGGATTGGTCTACACCAGGTTAACTGGAAAGTCAAATCCAAACACTCCAGACTTTAAGGAGGGATTTCAAAATTTGAACCCAAAGCAAAATTCACATTCTGTGACCCTTTCCGATACTGACTTTAGGGCATATCCAGGCTCCTTGTCCCATACAAGGGCATATTCATCCCTCTCCTGCACAGTCCTTCCAACACTTCATCTTTCCCCTATATAGTTTTCCCTATTCAAGATCAGTGATTCTCTTCTGGCCCCTTCTTGTCACAGAACTCCAGAAGTTCTACAAAGCAATCCAGGAGGTCCCAATCCCTGCTTATCATGAGCCAAGGAAAACAGCAGCAACAAGATTCTTCAAGAGCAGTCTACACTCCTTTATCTGAGAACTCGCCAGAAGAAAACAAGTTTGAGGTGCTTCCTTAGCCCAACAGAAAAAGGATGCGAGACAAGCAAGAGCAGCAGTAAGTGCCTCAGGGGCGGAGGTAGTAAGGAGCTGCAAACATTCAGAGATGTAGTTAACCAAGTGAGTCTGAAGTCAACTAGAATGCAGGGGGGAGGACAGAGAAGAGAACAAATTTTGAGCCAGTTTTTGCTCGCAGCCTATGCTACTGGCCTGCGACGTTACCCGGAGGTGCTGAACTGCGTACTCATTTTTGCTGGCTGGATGAGTGGTGTTGGGTCGGTTTGTGGCCCTTATCCAGGTCCAATCTGGCATGCTGTCCCAGCTGCGCATGCCAGATCAGGCCATGGCATGACCCCTCCCCCAACACTACTTCAACCTAGCGTTCAGGGTCATGTCATCTGGTCCACTGGGCTCCCCATGGGTCTGGACATTTGCAGGGTACCTGCAATTACGGATGACATCACACCCCCAGGGGGAGACACATAGGCTAGATGACCTGGCTTCATGGGCCAAATCTGGTCTACCAGCCAGAACTTGAACACCACTGACTTAAGTAACCTGTTCCTTATTTCTCTTCTCTCCTGACAGCTCAGATAGTCTTGAGGTTTCTAAGATCTTCAGGGTTTCCCCCTTTACAGCCATTGTTTAGAAACAAATGTCCTACTGTCCAAGGGAATAAGAATAGTTCTTCTCTCTTGGAACATTTTCCTAGTCATTTTACATACCTTGAAACAAAAAGAATGGGAAAATACAAAGTTTGGTTTTATGGTAATTCCTCTGAAATACTCTCTCCTCCCTTAGTGATATCAGAGCCACACAGCTGTTTAAAATCTGAAACTGGGTTTTAGCTCCATCTGGTGGCAATTGAGATGTTTTAAGGACTGTAACCTCTTATCAGCTTAAAAACTTAGAGAATCTATTCTGAATTATATCATCACTCGTCCAGACCATTCCAAAACCACTGGTACCAAATAAAACCAGTTTTCATTGGTCAAATCTTGTATGTAAAAATCAGATACTACACCTATTTGCCATGGCACACTTAGGCCTGGCTGCTTTAAAGATATGCTGGCCCCAGAGATTCTCATTGACACAGTTTGATTCCAGAATAATTCCACTAACATGTGTGGTATTGTTTCTAAACTATTACACTGAAGAAGAGGAGAGGAGAGAATCAAAAGGGCTCCTAAGGGCGACTGCAGTACAAATATATAACAAGATATCTCTACCCCCTCTCTTCTCCCAACATTATGGTAAAATGGCTTGTTGCATTTACTTAGCTAGTTTAGTTGAGCTGAAAGTGAGATCATCATCAGTAGTCTGCCAGAGGAAGAAAGAAGTGATCAGGAACTGCACCAGGCAAGCTATTATAACACACTAGTTAATCTACACACTGAATGTTTCAAATGACTCCTGAGGTTAGAGGCAAGAATTCTCATGGATGATATTTTCTATTGGATCAACTGCATGGTTGAGATAGACACAGACAAGCTTTCAGGTATCACAGTACATTCCTTCTTGGAGAAAAGCAGACACAACAGAGCTAAGCAAGTGATGGAACAAAAGCTTATGTAAAACTCCATATGTAAACAAAAACAGGATATAAGAGAAATTATCAGAAGGCCAACAGGCAGGAGAGATACAGTAAAAACATGATAAAGGGGGAACAAGATTGTTCAGGGGAGCTGTTATCAGGCAGTAGCAACAACTGAGAAAACCACAGTCACTAGACTCAAACACTAGTCAGCAGCAATTTTGACACTAGGTTAAGCCAACATTTGCTGGAAATATTGGAAAGAGGTTCATCAAACCTCACCTATGTTCAGGTTCCTTTGGGACTTCATTTGTCTAGGACTACAATGATCTGTCTATCTACGGGGCCCTGCCACTAGAACTTACCCCACCACTCACTTCTGCTGTTACAGGAATGCTGGACATGCCAACAAACTCATTTAAACTCCAAGGGAGTGTTGGAGGAGTGTGTGTGTGGGGGAAGGGGGGCAGAGTTTACACCAAACAGAAGCTATATTACATTTTTTCAGGATTTGGTATGAACAGAGAATAAGTGGGGCATTTTTTCATGATGGCGCCATGACCAAGGGAAGTATAGATGCACTCCTATAGCACTTTAAGAGCTATATCACATCTTTATTGGCATGTGCTAGAATCCCACCTTCATTCTGAAGAGCAGACATGTTATTACGGTACCTGAACTTCTTGCAGTCTTTAGTCTATTAATCCCTGGAAGGTTGGGAAATGCTAGTATTCTCCATTTTACAGATGGGGAGCTAAGGCACAAGAAAGCCAAGTGATCTGTCCAAAGTTGCATGCAAAAAATTTGTAGTAAACTAGGGACTTGAAGACATTCTTCCCCAAATGCTAAGCTAGTCCACACCCTTCCTTTCTCTACTCATTGTATTCCTTTCTGTGGGATGGATGGCTGGATAGGGAGTGCGTCAGGAAGGCTCTGTTCCCATCAAATCACCAGCTAGTATGTAGAAACCAGCATGGGATGTAGACCAGCAGCAAATTACCCTCATGACTTAGAGAAGTCTTCTAGGGGAGAATGAAGAAGAACAATTTTTTCCCTAAACCATGGCAGAGAGGGCTTCTTGTGAAGCGGAAGGCTATTCCTCAGTACACATTCCGAAGAATTCCTGACTAGCAGTCTCTCATGACTGCACAATCAGCCTTACTAGTCTTTACAATTGCATGGAAAAAAGATCTCTCTGCTAAACCAAAGAAGCTCAATGTCAGCTAATTTGACCATCTTTGTTTGTTCTCTTCTAGAGAGATATTGAAGAATCTCTAAACACTGGTCACTAGTTGTTTGGTGCACTACATTTTTGTAATGAAAAGTGAAATCAAACTGCAAGAGAAGATGTCATAAACATGGCCTTGACACAGAGCAAAGAAACAGAGTCCAGACAGAGCTGACTAGATGGACAGACTCAGAAACTTGGAGTAGAGGTACATGGAGCTACATTCTCCCATCCCACGAATAATTGAGATTTCAGAAGTTATCTTCCTGATGTGGAAGGTGATTTTCAAGATTGTTCTGCAAGACAGAGAGCCATGTCAGAAAAGCAAGTAGCTCAATGACTGAGTAATTCAATAGGGAAACCAAAGGAATTGAATATTTATTTATAGGACAACTCTCCCTGCCCATATTGTATAAGTGGCCTACCCACCAAGCTATAGAAACAATCTTTATCTTATTTTAGGTCAAGTAACTAAGGATGGCCAAATCTGGCCCTTTTATTGTAACACATTCAAGCCTGGTGGAAGCCTGATAACATCAACAACATGCTGGTGCCAGTTTCTTTCTGGCATCTTTTTATTAACCAGCCCCAGCTTATAGTAATAATATTGAGGGATCAAACTGGCTTTTGTTATGAAGTGGATAGTAATTTTACCAGCATACAGAGATGTTTTTTCTGTTACCATTTCCTTAGTATTTAAGCACGATGACTGAATACTTCAGTTCGGAGCTCACCATCTACCTGTAACTACTGTAATTTTTTTTAACATAATGGAAGTTGAATAGGGCTGCTGTGATCAGATATGGAACCTTGTGGTTCTTGATTTATTTGTGCACATTTTTCAGTGGCAGACTTCATTAAATGTAGCAGTCAGGAAACCAGCCCTGCTAATAAGATTGACAACTGCAGGTTATTTACTGGCTCCCTTGGAACTTTTGTACAGCATTGCTGTGGGAAAATACAAGGTTTGAAATGAGATTAATGAAAAAAAAGCACAGCTGCATTGTTTATGTTCTTGAGGGAATTTGTGCATATTGTAATTCTGAAGTATGTTCCCAGATAAAGTGGAATGATGTCAATTCATTGGGGAAATATTTGTCTGGTGATTTTAACAAGAATTAAAGCAATAATAAATAATTTGCCCTCTATGGAAAAGCATGTTGCAAACATTCATTATAATAAGAGCAGAATACTCTGATGAAGTACATACATATTGTGGAACCTTTTATGTTGCATGATGATACTACAGTGTGAAGATATTGTAAGCTTGACTTGTGAACCTCAGGTAGGACATTCTGGGATTATTCACATGCTTAAATAGTTTGCAGCACTGGAATCAAAGCACTCAGAACTTTGCAGGATTGGACACCAAGTCATTTCCATTAGGCTTCTTATATTTCTTACATTATAAAGCTTATATCTGGGCTGAATCCACTGCATATTTTTTGACTATGCATACACAAATGTGCTGAAAAAAGGATATGAAATGCCATATTTTTCAATACATTTTCCTAGAACTACAGAAAAGGAATAGGATTAATGAGGGCATATGATGAATTTTAAGTATGTCATTTAAAAGTGATAACAGTAATTTTTTGTAGCTGTCAAGATATGTACAGATCTTATTATTCCTTATTTAAAACTGAATTAAAAAAACAAAC